CTCCAGGCGACCATCCAGCAAGTGGTGGCGGCGGCACTAAACCAAGTGGCGGTGGGACTACAAGGCCAAGTGCCCCCGCCGCGGCCCCAGGAAATAAGGGTGGAGACCCAAAGAAGTGGACCGGCCAGACGACAACCAGGCCCTTACCAATCTGCACCAGAACGATTGGGACAAAGGGCGCCCGTGCGGCAAAGATTAGGATCACGGGCCGAGGGATCCTCTACCAGAGGCCCTCGCCAACACGAAAACAGAGAAGCCGAGAGATCACCCACAAAGGAGGTGGGCGAGTCCCGGGAGCCGACCCCACGCCAACACGTTGATGAGTCGGCCTTACGTCGAGACTTGGAGGAGCGACGAGTCGAAGAGCCGGCTCCGCGACGGCACTCCGCGGGGGAAGCGACACGTTGATGAGCGGGTTCCACACCGACACTTGAAGGAGCGGCAGCCAGCCCCGCGCCGGCACCCTGATGAGTCGGCCCTGGTCGAGAGGCTGCAGAGAAGAATCGAGGAGTTAGCAAGAAGAGTGGAGGCACGGGAGCAGTCGCCGGAACCCGAGGTACGGATGACAGCACCATTTTCCCCAAGCATCATGGACATACCTTTGCCGAGGGACTTTAGGTTGCCCGCCATCAAGGAGTACACGGGGGTCACTGACCCACGCGTCCACATGACGAGGTACAAGGCTGCTATGGTAATGATCGGGGCAGGGGACGCCATCATGTGCCGAGCGTTCTTGTCCACCCTGGATGGAGCGGCCCAAGACTGGTTCAACACCATCCCTGATGGGTCGATCCAAAACTTTGGGGAGTTGTCCAAGAGCTTCCTGACATACTTCTCCGGTAGCATACAGCGTAAGAAACCCTTCTCTCACCTCTGTGTAGTGAAGCAAGATAGAGGCGAGAGCCTCAAAGACTTCCTGATAAAATGGAAAAAGGAAGTCAATAATGTCTACGACTTCGACTCCAAGGCGGTGATCCCGATATTTATTCATGCCTTAAGATCAGGGTATTTCCACAAGCAGTTGAACGCCCACCACCCCCGCTCTTACGAAGATCTGATAAGGACGGCTAGCCGCTATGCCGAAGCAGAGGACACACTGTACTTTCTATACTGAGACAAAGGCAATACAACTATTGTTACTCTCTCTTTCACATAGCGTTATTATAGTATTATTATTACCGGTGACATTATTACCGTCACCTATTAAAAGGTTTAATGATATAATCTACATCTACAATTCTAATAAGAGCCAATAATGTTAGGCCCTTAACTGGAATAAAAAAAATGTCGGTACTACTTAGTTTCTTAAAATGAATGGTTCATAGTATTTTGATTTTAGTATTTTTAATGATTTTCCTTATTTTCCCTTTATTATATTATTTTCTTTCTTTAAATAACCTTAAATTCCGTTAGTATAAACTTTATTAATGGAATATTCCGTTAACTATTTATTATTCTTAACTTACTCATTAATTTCTATAAGAAAGGTCTTAGGTTCGAACCGCATTCCAATTAGAGTTAGCATAATTGTTAAACATATACTATGAATATTTTAATATGTATTAAAAAATAAAATATAAAATTTAACATAAACTTTGGTCAAATAATTAGCCCTCCTAAATACATAGCATTCAATGATTATAAATCCGGAACTTTGATAATCATTTGATTTTCTTTCATTAAAAAAAAAAATTAAATTTGAGTTCAGTTTTTTTTTTTTTTTCGTTTAATTAATTTTCTTTTGATTATTGAGAACAAACTTAATGTTTCAATTATGCTTTTATCAATGAATGAAAACTTCTAAAGAAATTTGTAAGTTAATTTTTACTATATTATTATAATAATATCTATTGTAACCTTATATTTTGAATTATTTATTTTCATCATCTATTGACAGCAATTGTCATTGACAAACTCTCAAAACAATTTGTCTCAACAATGAATGAAAATTAAAAAAAAAAATTAATGATTTCATTATTATGGATGAAAAGTATGTACGCCACTTTATTCAATCGTTATGATGTGGAATTGTGTCCACCTTGCAATGTGGACACAATTCTATGTTCATAATTACTGAACTATATGTTCATAATTATAAAGCTATATATTCATAATTTTTGAACTTCATATTCATAATTATTGAACTCTATATTCACAATTACAGAACTCTATATTCATAATTACTGAACTATATGTTCATAATTATAAAGCTATATATTCATAATTTTTTAACTTCATATTCACAATTATTGAATCTCTATATTCATAATTACAAAACTATATGTTCATAATTATGTTCACAACTCTATGTTCATAATTATAGAACTATATGTTCATAATTTTTGAACTATATATTCATAATTATGAACAGCTTTGGAACCGTGTCCACCTTTATCCACCTTGCAAGGTGGACACGGTTCCACATCATAATTTTCCCATTTTATTGCTCTTATTACTTAAATTAAAAAATAAATTAGTAGTTACAAAAAAAAAAAAAAAAAAAAAAAAAAAAAAAAAAAAAAAAAAAAAAGACATGCATTTAATTAATTTAGAATTAGATGTCTCACAACACATGAAACTTGTAGTGAAAAATTACCGCTACCAAATATCAACATGTGCTTGTAAGATAAAGAGTTCATAGCACAACTAAGATCTCAGTCATATACACAACAAGATAAATCTAAAACTTCATACACCATAATCTCATTGCATGATGAATCTCTTTATGATACTACCAATAACCCAATTGCACATGACACACTACCAATAACAAAAAATAAATAAAAAAAAAAACAAAAAAAAAACATGTACTGAAGATGAAAACAATAACAATGCTACCTAAAAGAGAATTAGAAAAATTTAAACAAAAAAATAGTATTTATTTAGACTATCACTTTTAGACTTAGTACTTAGATTCTTAGATTAGCGTTATTACAAAATTGCAAACATTTATTTTTGCGACAGTTATATATAATCAATCTCTCATATATTATCTTGCATTTATATACTTTAAATTACCGATTTAAATAAACAAATTTAACATTTATTTACCTGTGCACGAACATCTTCTATATAATATTGCATTGATATACTTTGAAATACTTATTTAAAAATAAGTATTGGGCATTATCCTATTCGCGCAAAGCGCGTAGAAAAATTAGTAAAGGAATAAGGGTCAAATAGGTCATCCAATTGCACACGATAATGCAATTAGGCCACTGAACTCAAAAAAGTTACAATTGAGTCCCTAAACTAACCCATTTCAAGCAATTTGTCCAATTTACGGATTTTTCCTCTTTCTAACAGGTCACCCAATTTAAAGTATTTTTTAAAAATAATTTTTTTTAAATAATTAATTAAAATAAACTAAATTAAAAAAATAAAGAAAAAGTGATGAGAGTAGTTTGGTTATTTGTTGGTCTTCTTTGTCATCCTCTTCTTCATCGCCGGATTTTGACGGAGAGTGGGAGGAGTCGAGGAGAAGTCGTCGGAGCCAGTCTCAGAGCCCAGGCTTTCAGTGCAGATCTCGAGGCTTCTCTCGCTCAAAGAGCTAGCCGTTCTTCTCTTCACGAGAGGATGAACATAAGGGGAAGGAAGCTTAAAAGAATCCATAGTGTTTTGAGACACCAAAATTGAGCTCCAAGACTCGCATGACCTAATTAATGCTGGCTTTACACCATTATTTTGAGGAAGCTGCTTCTGTGCGGCTTGGATTGCTCTCTAAACCCCATCTTGCCTTGGCCTGCTGAGGTCATCTTCTTCATGGCCGAAGAAAGGGTGGTGATCGTCGGCGAAATCGTCGGAGTAACCAACCTTCATCATTGCCGCCGGGAAGGTCGAGAAGCCAGTCTGCCATGGAGATGAAAGGTATGGAGCTACTGCCGTCGACCAAGGGGGGAGAACTCAGGTCCGTCGCTGCTCACCGCCGGAGGAAGGGAATGAAGGCCGCCACTTGTTGCTGTTGTCCAACTGCCGCCACCCACAGCTCACGCTGGTTCACGGATACACCGAGGAAGATGGAGGCCGGAGACGGAGACCATCACTGCCCGCCAGATGATGTTTTTCTTTTATTTATTTATTTATTTATTTTAGTTTAGTTTATTTTAATTAATTAATTTTAAAATTTTAAAAAATATTTTAAATTTGGATGACCTGTTACTAAGGGGAAAAACCTGCAAATTGGACAAATTACTTGAAATGAGTTAGTTTAAGGACTCAATTGTAGCTTTGTTGAGTTCAATGGCCTAATTGCATTATTGTGTGCAGTTTGATGGCCTATTTGACCCTTATTCCTATAATAAATTATTTTAAATTATTTACCAGATTGGAATGTCGCAAAAGTCTCTACATTTAGGAATTTGTATTTGTAATTATGAAATTAATTACCATATACAAAAATAGTCTATTAAAAGGCAGGATATTTATTTATATTACTAGTTTTTTACGCGCATTGCGCGATTGAGATAATGCCCAATGTTTTTTTTTTTTTTTAAATAAGTACTTTAATGTATATCAAGGCAAGATTATATTGGAATTGTTCATGCATAGATAATTGAATGTTAAATTTATGTATTTAAATAGGCAATTCTAAGTTTACAAATGCAAGATAATATAGTCAAGATTGATTATAATTGTTAATGAAATAATTCTATAGGTATGGTTGAAACCAAATAGGGACATAATGAGAGAAAATAAAAATTAGTGCATAAAATATTAAATATATACTAATATTGAAGAGCTAACTTCTGATTGCCAAACAAGGACATTGCGAGATAGTTTCCACTTCAATTTGTTATGTGATTTGAATACTCATTTTGTCAATAAATCTTCAAAGTAGTTAATATGATTGGTTTAATTATATTTTTTTATTTCTTTATTTTTAAAAAACAATTATTATTATTATTATTATTATATATTTTTAATTTTTTCATCGTATTAATAAAATACTTGGTAAATAAATATATAGCACTATTTTGTATTATAACTTTGATATTTAATTAGTGCACAATAGTATTAAAAAATAGTGCACAAAAAAAGATAATAGACAATGTAGTGAATATAATCAATTGATGAATTTGTACATTGGAGAAATATAAAGACAATATAACTAATAAAATTATTTCTCTTAACTAATTTATTGATAATGAATAATTTTTTTTTTAATAAAGACATTGTAGGGACAATGTAGCGAATATAATCAATTGATGAATTTGAACGTAAAGAATTTTTATATTGGAGAAAAATAAATACAATATAACTAATGGAATTATTTTTCTTATTTAATTTATTGATAATGAATAATTTTTTTGAATAAAGACATTGTAGACACATAATTCTAAATTAAAGAAATGCATATGTATTATTTTTTGTTGTAGCTACTAAATTATTATTTATAATAATTTAATAATAGTAAAATAGAGTATTAATTATGCCAACTTTGATTGGATGGGGTTTGAACTTAAGACCTTTCTTATTGAATTCAATGAGTAAATTAACAGTGAACTAACAGAATTAACGGAAAAGATAATATTTAACGGAAAAGTTAACGGAAAATCATATTCATTAAGGATAAATTAGGAAATTTTAAGGAAAAATTAAAATCTGATCAATCTGAGCCATCCATTTGATTAAAAAATTTGACCGCCATTTTTTCTACCCATTATAGATCTAACTCTCTTGGCCTCTTATTAGTATAGTAAAGAGTAAAATAGAGTACTAATTATGTCAACTTTGATTGGGATGGGGTTCGAACTTAAGACCTTTCTTATTGAATTCAATGAGTAAGTTAACCGTGAACTAACAGAATTAACAGAAAAGATAATATTTAACGGAAAAGTTAACGGAAAATCATATTCATTAAGGATAAATTAGGAAATCTTAAGGAAAAATTAAAATTTGATCAATCTGAGCCATTCATTTGATTAAAAAATTTGACTGCCATTTTTTCTACCCATTATAGGTCTAACTCTCTTGACCTCTTATTAGTAGTGCTGTCAATACGGGCCGGCGGGGCGGGGCGGGCCGCGGGCCTAAACGGGGCGGGCTAAAAAAGCCCGCTCCTAAACGGGCCTGAGTTTGACAGGCCCGGACCGCCCCGCCAGTGGCCCGCGGGCTAGGCGGGCCCCCGCCCAAACCCTTTTTTAAAAACAAATTGTTCATCAAACATCTAACTAATTAAAATAAATTGATATATAAATCATAACTCACATTAAATATTACATAAATTTCAAAGTTCATAGTTTATCAAACATCAAACTAGTCAACTACAAAGTCCAAAAATATTACACATAACAATAATTTTAAAGTGCATATTTTATATAAAAATATTTTATATAAAATAAAATAAAATAATGGCGGGCAACCCGCGGGCCCGGCGGGCCGCGGGCCTAAGCGGGCCGGGCCAAAAAAGCCCGCTCCTAAACGGTCCTCTATTTTCAAAACCCGCCCCCTACCTAAGTAGGGGTGGGGCGGGCCGGGCCGGCGGGCTAAGCCCGTTTTGACGGCTCTACTTATTAGTATAGTAGATTTTCATATGAACGTATGTAACTGTCAATTTCATAATTGCATATAGGTATAATAGGATAATACTATATTTATATATTATTATATGTATATATCGTACATCATATATAGTTATTAGGATCGTATTTAGGAATGATACATATAATTGGATAGAATAATTTAATTATATATATTAATTTAAAAGTAACTTATTAAAAGGTTTGAAATGATGTAATAAATTATAGATCGTATTTAGGAATGATACATATAATTGGGTAGAATAATTTAATTATATATATTAATTTAAAAGTAACCTATTAAAAGGGTTGAAATGATGTAATAAATTATTTTAAAGAATATTGCAAAAGTCTCTCTGTAATTAAGAATTTTTATTTATAATTATGAAATTAATTACCATATATAAAAATAGTCTATTAAAAGGCAGGATATTTATTTATATAATAATTATTTACATATGAACGTATGTAACTGTCAATTTCATTATTTACAATATACATAATATACTTTAACAATGTTAAAAAAAATTATCATTAACTACTACAAATTTATAGGCCGTGCATCGCACGGGTATCATACTAGTGACAATTGTAGAATGAATAAGAATTATATTACCATACTTTACAATATTACGCAAACCTTAATAGTATAGGTGTACTTTTAGGCGGAAATTGAAGTTAAAATGGAGGAATTTGTTTTTATAGATAGTAAAGATTACAACAATTATTAGCTTAATTACCATAATAATTATTAATAAATTATACTAATATCTATGTAATTAATTTCTTAATTATCATAATAATTATAATTATTAGGTAAATATATTAACATTGTGCAATTATTAATTAATTACCATAATAATTATTAGATTTTTATATAATAATAGCTTGAGAGGTACTTTGGGCGGGAAGTTGCGAAAAGTAATTTTATTTTTATTAGTAGTGACTGAATAATAATATTGTTGAATAGTTATAGGAATTTTAATATTGTTGTATTGTATTACGAATAAGAATTTTAATGTAGAATACGAATATGGAAGTAGGACATATTCTATTAGGAATTGTATTACAGTATATATTTTATAATACTAAATAGGGATTAATGTAGAATTGTAGTATCAATAGGAAAATAGTAGAAAATAATATATTTTATTAGAAACTGTATTATACTATTTTGCTTTTATTGATAGTATTGATTGATTGATTGATAGATTATATCATAAGACATAAGATTAATGATTAAACAAATTATTTATTTATTTTTAATAATGAAGCTACTTCCTAGTTCTATGTCCATTTTGTATATATATATATATATATATATATATATATATAAATATATAGCTAATAGCCAAACAGCCACTTCTTCCATTCCCCATAACAATTCTGGTCTTCTTCGATCTTCTTCTTCTCATTTTTGGCGTTCCCAGATTCAGGTAAGCATTCTTGATTTACCCCTTTCCAGTTCTCGATCCATGCATTTAAACAATATGTATACACATATATAAAACATGTAATAAACGATGCAATTTATTCATGTGTATTCGAGATGAATCATCCCATTGAACCTGCGTTCTCTATTTTTTCGGTGTCTTGATCGTTCTCCATGCGTGTGATTGGTATAAAGTTGTGATCTTTGGTATGCCCAGTTATTGTTATTGTTATTCATTAATGATTTTATGATAGCCTTAAATTGACAGTGAAAGTGGGTGGATAGAGTGGAAAAAACCATGGCGGGTCGTAATATGGAGAAGTTGGCATCCATTGATGCGCAATTGCGGTCTTTGGTGCCCGGTAAGGTATCTGAGGACGACAAGCTTGTCGAGTATGATGTTTTGCTTCTCGATCGGTTTCTTGATATTCTTCAGGATTTGCATGGAGAGAAGCTCAGAGAAACGGTACGGTGATTTCTCAAATGTTTGTATGTTTTAGTAGAATATAATGATGTTTGATTCCATGATGGTTAAGATATGCTGATCAAGATCTGATCTTACAATTAAAATCAATTATATTGTAGCAATGAGTTTCCTTCATTTTGAATACACTAGGTTGTTTATCTGGAATTGTAATATGCCTGCCAATAAGATTGTGACCCGATGTAGGAGGTGTTAGGTTTGATTGCCTTCCTGGGCGGTAGATTGTGGCCAATGATACAATATCAAGCCTCCACAGCTGCAGTGTGGAAGTTTCACCTAATGTAATGTGGGCACAAGACACTAGTCCTCTCACCTAATGGACCACTATTGATTTACCCCTCCATCATATCCACTGTCCTGTTGGGACGAGGTGGGGTGTTAGGTTTATTTCCTCATAGAATGATCATTAAATGCTTTTGTATTGGGATCACGAAGGAATTCAATTATGTACTCTGGAGTCGTTATTCATGGTGATGTGAAATTTCAGTGGGTTGCTTCATATAATTGTATGTTAGGTGTGAGTGAAGTGTGATAACGGTCAATGTTTGAAGCGTTATAGTTTCCTTTTCTGATCTCAGGTCCAAGAATGTTATGAGCTCTCCGCTGAGTATGAAGGCAAGCTTGATCCCAAGAAGCTGGAGGAGCTTGGAAGTGTATTGACAAATTTGGATCCGGGTGATTCAATTGTGATTGCCAAAGCTTTCTCTCACATGCTTAACTTGGCAAACTTGGCTGAGGAGGTTCAGATTGCTCATCGTCGGAGGCAGAAACTAAAGAAGGGGGATTTTGCTGATGAGAACAGTGCCACAACTGAATCTGACATTGAAGAAACAATCAAGAAACTCGTGGTGGACATGAAGAAGTCCCCTCAACAAGTATTTGATGCACTTAAAAATCAGACCGTGGATCTCGTTTTAACTGCACATCCTACTCAATCTGTCCGGAGATCGTTGCTTCAAAAGCATGCAAGGTAGGTTTGACTCATCATTCACAAACATTCCACCTATTTTCTTTCTCTTACCGAATCTTGTTTCTAGGATCCGAAATTCCTTGGCTCAGTTATATGCCAAAGACATTACACCTGATGACAAACAGGAGCTAGATGAAGCTTTGCAAAGGGAGGTAAGTATCACTGTTAAATGAATCTGTACTTGTAATTATCTATCTAAGATCATCAATTATTGACAAAATTGTATCTTTTTTTTTTTTTTTTTTTTTTTTGTGAATGAAACTGGACCTTTTTCTAGATTTCCTCCTCTCAATGTCCTCATGAAACTTATGTTTATACTTTTGCCTTAGAAAGAACAGTGTGGGTCTTGGAACATGAAACGCGTGCTATGTTTCTTATTACTCCAATAAAACCAAAAACGCTGATTCTTGCTCACAAAGAAGTAAACATGAAGTTGAACTTTGTATTAAGGACTTGGATTATATGTGCTTCTCATGTGTGAATTGGAAAAACTATCATGAAATTTGATATGCTCCGTAGATCAGAGTAACGTCATGGTTAGCACGGTTTGGCTTTTTATATCGGTTTCCTGTCTTAAACCTTGCAGATTCAAGCTGCTTTTCGCAC